ACCTTGTTACACAAATGTATCATCTTGGGAATGGTAGTATAGCATCCCTGATGTCATTTATCACTATATTATGACTTCTTCTTTGATTGGTTGTTTGCATGACCCCTACTGGGTACCCTACAGTAAGTATTTTCTTTTTATTTCTGTACCACTCAGTAGCCAACGCTGTCTGGGTTTTTAACAGGAATGTATGGAATACACTAAATACAAAATACATGTGCAATAAAATAGCATAACAGCTCGATACAGGTCTTTAAGCAGAATATAGAACAAACTAAATTAAATTTAGTTCAAGTTCAATACAGACAAATCTGCTAGAAGAGAAAACAGGTGACATAAATTCTCTCTCATATGCCATTTAAAACCCTTAAATGTCTTGTCACAGAGACCCATCTTCTAGCACGGAGGGGAGTGGAGTCGGTACTTGGCAGGTCCTGGTTAGGAGAGCATTCCACAGTTGGGGTCCACCCATTGCAGGGGACAAACTGCTTAGACTCATGGTTGTTGAGAAAGTAAGCATGAAGAGCACCATGGTAAGATAGTCTGTGCTTGGTTATATCCCAAGGGAGGGAGAGTGTGCGTGTGTGCAGATAGGAAAAGAGGAAACAATTGTGGCTTTTGGGTGCACGCAGAAGACTGACAATCATACTTCATTATTATGCATTTTCAGAACCGGCAGAAAAGCTTAACTACCCTCTTATTTGATTATTGTAGAAATGCTCAGTAATGAAAGCTCTTCTTCTCCCCCACTGTTCTACAATGCATAATAGATATTTGCATGCAAACGAAGCTATGTGTGCTGCTTCGTTTGTATGCAGAATGTAATGCAGTGTTCAGTGCATTGAATGATTGGTTCTTCCTTCTATTTCTCATTCTCTTTACCCCATGAAAATGAATGGATTGAGCTATTTTTCCCAAAGTAGGAATGGTGAATATTTCACTGTAAATCTATTTGCCACCTAGGTCCAAACTACAGTGTTCCAGTAGTTCCAGTCAAATCCAACTTCAAACTACAAACCCTTTCCAAATTTAAATCCTTGTTTGTTGTTTAATTTCAGATTTTTAAATGGTAGTGTTTCAATGCCGGACTCTCCCAAATTTATTTAAATTTTGCTGCTAAGATTTTGGGGTGTGTTGGGAGTATTAATTGAACACTGTGGAGTCAAGAAATAATGTGAACCAGGTGGACATTCACTTGAGTGCAAATGGTGGAAAGCTCAGAGTGGATATGACCAAGCATACTCTAGTATACATTATTGTGTCCATTGCACAGCCACATGGGCAGAAAAGAAAGCTTGAGTTGCTGCCTCCATTAGCCATCCAGCAGAGGTCTTTCAGGTGGTCTGTGGGTTGTCTGCATTCTCTGCAGCAAAAGGGGCCCTGATCCCCTCCAGGATTCACTGTGGCCTCCCCACATTGCAGTTTGAATAGCAAACTGCTTCTCTTTGCAGCAAAATTGATGCAGTTGTTGGCACTACTCCAGCGGAGGTGCCTGACGCTGCCCACTGCCTGGTTTTGTGGGAGCAGTTCCAGTGGCTGTGGCCTGATGACTTGGAAGATGTAGCAGCAGCAGCACAAGTGAGCGTGTGGACTCTTAATCTGATAAAAGCTACCTGTGGGGCTAAGAGCAGTGAGTCCAGGGAGCAGTAAATGTATCTCTGTATGAAAAGGTGGTTCCTGCTATCCTTAAGGAAGCAGTTCTGTGACCACTGCTGAAGAAACCTGCTCTTGGCTAGGAGCATTTAGCTACTACACCAAGTTGCAAATACCCATGTCTTAGGGGAAAGTATGTGACAGGGTTGTGGAGGCATACTGATTAGGTAGAACTATTCCAGTCCGGTTATGAGACTGAATCTACCTTGGTCAATCTAATGATGTCCTTTACTGGGCATTTAACACTGTTAATTCTTCTCCATCTCTCATCAGTTGTGAATACCATCAGCTGTGGTATGCTTGTGGATCAACTCTGAACAGTGGGTATTTAAGGCACTGGCTGGGTTTGCACAACACAGCAATCAAATCTGTTTGTTTACCATGGTTTACAATCCTTATCATGATCTACCTGACATACAATCAAGTTCTTTCTACTTTATTGTGGTTTCTGTCCTCCCCACATAATCTTCCTGCTATTGGCGCATATCCCATTAGCTACTGTGCCTGAAATTCAATTCTAAGCTGCATTACTTTCTGCCTATTTTGCCTGTCTCTTCCTCATTGTGCCACATGTCTGATACTAGGCAGAGAAGGATAGCAATGATGGAGCAGTTTCTAGAGTGATCACTCTTTCCAGGAAACCCTGTGGTAGTTTCACGCCAGGACCAGGAAAACCATGATCCTGGTTTAGGGCAGCACAACAAACCATGGTGGTACAGTGAAACCATAGAGCAAACTGGTTTTTAAAGACCAAACTGGGATGACTCAATACGACAGACCAACAATAATAAACCACCATGGCTTATTATGTTATTTGAACCCAGGTACAGTGTTCCAGTAGTTCCAGTCTTACCTCCAGAGTGAATTCCAAGGGATAATATTAGGGAACTCTTTCCCCTGTCAATTGAACTATGGGATTGTGCAGGGCACCATCTTTTCTCCAGTGTTACTGAAACCTGTATAAAGCTGATGGGAGCAGTTGTTGAGGGGGGTTGAGCCAAGTAGCTCTGTCATCTTGGGAGATCTGAATCAGGTGAGGCTGTGCAAGTTCTGGATCTGTGTCTAGACACAGTGAAAAACTGGATGAGGGTCAATAAATGGAAGATGGAATTCTCATGGACTCCTGAGCTGAGAGGACATGCTCATTGCCCACTCTGGAGGGGATCGCACTCCCTTTGAAAGATCAGGTTCATACTCTTATTGCCACTTATTTGTTTAGATGTGTAGTTGTGTATCAATGCTGTAAATAAAATAGAACATGAAATAAATATGGATTTCTCTGGTAATTATGACAATCTGCAGTGACTGCAGCTAGTACCGCTATTTTTATATTTCTACTATTACCAAAACAACAAATGAAGGCTAACAAAGTTCAATTTTTGTGCCAGCAATGAAGTATAGAGAACAGTCGAAGCTATACTGGGAACACAGTTTGTGATTCTGATCACGCCTGTTTAAGGAAGATAAATTCAAAACAATTGTAAGTGCAAGCAACTTGTGTTATAAAATGGCCCCCTTTTTTCATGGAGCATATCTGCCTGAAACTATTACATATTTATAGGAAGCAGACTTCTGTTTCAGAATGTGCTATTAAGAAAACTGCCCAAGAAAACTATTGGAATGAGGCTAATTTCAAGGGAGCATGTAAGAGAGTGTGTTATTTGTTCAATGCATTTTATTTGTATAGCCGGGGATGTAGATCCCTCTCAACTATAGCTTTGGTGTGTAACTCCTGACTGTGCCAATCCAAGGAACTCAACTTCCATTTAAGGAAAAATCCTAACAATGTTCTAATTCTCCTTTCTCTTGAGGGAGAAAGCTTAGACATGGGTAGATCCAGACATTTCTGTGTTCAAAAATCAGCTCACAAAAGGGGTCTTTTAACTATTCAACAGGGTAAATTCGAAGGACATGGCACAGATCTATAGCAGCAACACTGCTGCTGCTTCTCCATTATCAGTGCTGGCCATCAAGCTTAGAGGTGAACATTTTTGCCCTCAAGGAGGGCTTCCAAGGTGCTCAGACCATCTGCCTACAGACTCCCCCAAACCTGCCCGCACTACAGTTGTTCACTGTCCTAATCAACTAGTTATATTTTGAGATTCCAAAATGATTGAACTTTGTTTTCAAGCCCTGGCATTTTAAAGAGCTGCATTGCTTTCAGACTGCTTGTGCTCCTTACAGTCTTTTGTTGGCAGTCTGTCTGCAATTGTTATGAAGGGTATTGTTTTGTTATATGTAGCCCTTTAAGTCTTTTAAAATAAAAGAATAAAGTGCTTTTCTAATAGATACGCTGTCAGCCACAGATTGGGGAAGCTGTCCCTGAGAATGCTTTGGGCAGTTCATATAAAAATAACTGGAAACAAATAGTAAATGCGATTTCTATTTCATGTGCACAATTAAACTTATGATACCGTATTTATATAACAAATACATACATTTGCATTTCAATAGCCAGTGAGCCATATTGGTTCAATTGTTGATTCATAAATCAGTGTTATGTTCTATTGCCCCTTAAAGGTAAGCATACAGTTTCACTTGAGATATATCTTTAATTTTAAAGGAACCTCTTGCAAGCTGTGCTCATCCTCAGGTATAGTGGGGGAGGTTGTTGATAATATTTGCACAATTCCATTTTTAACTCTTGTGTATGAAATTATCTTGACAAGGAATCACACAGTAAGATAGCAGAGCAGTGTTCAAGTATTATGTACTAAATATTATACAAGTCAGTAACAGGCCCAAAGTCTTCTGTTTTACTGCAGTAAAGCTGTGCCCCAGGACTTTCCACCCACCCTCATAAGATGAGATGAGGAGGATGGGCACAGAAGGGATACCCATTCACACATGTGTAACAGAGATAAATGTCTCTCAATTTTAAGTTACTCTTCTTCAAACAGTCATTACACAGAGGGAGATAAATGGCATGATTCTGACATTCTCCCAGAAGTGCATTTAATGCTTGGAATAAAGTATTTTTGTCATATCTTAGTGTCAAAACAAAGCTTTCTTAAAATACTTCTTTCAGAAAAAGAAATGGTTATAAAACAAGGGGATTTGTTGAAGTCATCTCAGGCAAAGACTACCGGATGGTTTTAATTCTAAGATGTAATCCGGAACACGCTAGAGCATGGAAGAAATTTTGTGGAAATGCCATGTAAGAGTATGTCATACATGATGTGCTATGTTTTCTAAATAAAGCATAATTCATCCCAGGTCATTCAAATACTCTTCAAATCATAATCAGTAAGAGCAAACATACATTCTCATCTTGCAGAATTTTTGCATTTGCTGTGTTGCAGGGTTTCAGGAATTTGTGTTCCAACTTTTCCTCCTTTTCTGTATAGTTTCAGAACAAGAACATGCACATCTCTTGGCCACAGTTCTGCAACTCATTTATGTCCAAAAAAGTGCCAGAGCTGGCTCTGGGTAGAGAAGATTCAAAAGAGGTAGGGAAAAACTTTGGAAGTCTACTGATGGAGAAATAAGTTTGCTGCCTCTGAACCATTCATAGCTCTTTCTAAGTCTAACAGTCATTGACAGATGCATTTTCCATCAGCCTATTTACCCCATGTGAAAGCCTTCAGTGATGGTGGCCATCACAACATCCTGTGGGGATTAATTCCAAGAATGTAAATTATTTTTTTCATGAAAAAGGCAAATACCCAATCAGGTAAAGCTACTGACCTGTTAACGGAAAGGGAAAAATATTACTGATGCCATGCTCTTGTCGTTGCTAGCCCATGGTCAGCATAAGGAGTTAGGAAGCCATGCTTCTGCAGAAATTTCAGTAGCCTCTGGCATTTACAGTTGAAGACTCCTAGAGCTAATGTGATATTTTGCTGCCTAAAGGCACCTGCCTTAAAATGAATACTCCAGAGCAAACTGTCCGTTCAGAGGAATATCATTTTCTGAGAATTTACTGCAAATATATTTTTAATGTGTTTTAGAGGGTTCTTTGAGTAAGCAGCTGCCATGTTTTATGTGCTGTACTAATCTGTGTCAAAATTGTTGAACTGCAAGGCCAATGTAGGTCAGAAACATAAAGGGGTAAAATGCACTAAAATGCATATTCAAGATTGATTTGGTGCCTATCATATTACTGTATCATGAAATAATTAATGATACGTAGAGCCAGTGAATGGAAAGAAATAATTCTCTTTCCCTTAAAACTGTTGAACATTGGGGACCCACAGGAATTCTGAAGAGGCTAAATAGTTTCAGAAAACGTAAAAATATTATCTGAGAGGACTATTTCCTCATGATAATCATTATAAATGCTTCTACAAGGAACATATTCAGGACTTTCCTATTGTTATTTTTGCTATTATTAGAGTTGGCATAGAAGGTCACAGAGCAGGAAGAGCCAAAAATCCACCCAGAGCAAGCCCCCGTCAAAGAGACAGGACTGACTATGCACCTGCTTCTGACTAATCAGTCAGGCCATTGACTTTTTGTCAACAGCTGTTTCGCTTTGGAGGGGATTTGTGGTGCCCAGTGGCTGGCTGCATACTGACCATGGGTATAATTGAAACCTGTGTGGGACTGGAGCTGGCCGAAGGCACTGGCGAGGGCACCTGTCTCATTCGCTCGCTCCCTTTCTGCCCAACAGCTGCCAGGAAAGGGTGAGATAAATTTTGCCCACATGTCTGAACTGACTGCTTGCAGAAGAATAATATTGTGCTGAAGATAATTATCCAAATCACAGGTGGGCAACTCTTGGCAGTCCAAATGATTCGGCCTACAAATCCCATCATTACTCACTATTAGCTGTGGTGGCAAGGCCTGATGAGAGTTGTAGACCAAAACTATTGGAAGGCCACAGTTTTCTCAGCCCTTTTCTAGATGTTTTAGGTAACTCATGTCATTGGATGGCTCAAAAAAGACACTTGTCACATGATGAGTGGAGGAAATTACAATCAGCTCCACTGTAGTCATCAGCAAGACCCCAGTTTGTTCTTTATGGTGCTACATTCTTATGAACGAGGACCTTAGAGATTCAGTTCTCGTGGTTGCTCTGGCTACACCTCTCAGCTGGAATAAACAAGACAAATAGACCGTCACCTAAGAAGAACATGAATAAACAAAAGCATTATTAGAGCAACCTTGCCCAGCCTGGTGGCCTTCAGAGGATTTGGACAGCATCTCCCAGATTTCCCATCCAGCAGGGCCACTGACTGTGAATTCTGGGTGTTACAGTTCAAACATGTCTGAAACGCACAAGTTTGGAGAAGCTTGAGCTAGAGAATACCTGGATAAGAAATTGTTTGATTCTTTTTTAGCCACAGTTTGCCAAAACAGTCCTTTCCACCCTTTAGAGATCACCTACACACTTCAGTAAGCTGTTGCAGCCATAATGAGTAGCACCATTTGCCATGTGGATCCTCCAGATTGTCTACAGAAACACCACACAACTTTTGCATGGCCTGGCATGTCACAGTTTATAGCTGCTGTGTGTATAAGCTGCCATGTAGACGCAGCTGGCTTTGCTGTTATCTTTTCCATAGAAGTTGAAATGGCACTACCTAGGAAGTCTTTCTTCTCATAAGAAAGATCTGGACATGCTGATGATTTGGAAGTGGGTTCATATTGAACCAGTGTGTACACATAATTTACACATGTTGATTCTAATCAGAGTATAAATAGCAGTATCCATGATTTAGAAAGCATCACCTAGAAATGGCTGTAAAGTATATCATAAGCTGCTGCAGCTGTCTAATTTCATTCCGTATCACTTGTAGCTCAGCTACTGCCAAAGCATGCCTTTCTATCCCAGGTGGAATATTTTCTGAAATGGATAGCCAATGCCTTTTAAAATATTCAAAATATTGTAGTGACAAGTCAAAATGTGAGGGAAACTTTGCAATGCCAGATCTATCTGCTCATAGAAGTGTGAGTGTGTTTGGACAGCTTTCTGTTGCCTTCTTGATTAGATTCTAACCATGCATAAAACAATGGGAATGTGGAATGTGCAACTGGGAAACAGACATACAAATTGCTTGCATAGTATTGCCCCTAAAAAATTTAGTGAATGAAGTAGCTCTTGGTTCTATGCTGTTCTGTGTGCACAGTCAGTATCTCAATGGAATTGCTAAGTTGGAGCTGGTATGACTTGCTATCAAATGCCAAAGCAGAGAGAATAAATAAATAGGTATTTTTGGTGCCATTTGCCATCTCTTTTCACATCTACAAGTTAAAAGCAAAGGACCAAATTGTGTCTGGAGAAGAAAGAGTGCTTGAAGATGCTTCAGTTCAGCATAAAGTTTTACCTGAACTATTCTCACTTATCCTCACTAGCCATCACTTAGGATTAAGCACATATCTTATCTAATTGGCTTGGAAGCGTTCAGCACAGTGTGCTACTAAATTTCAGTCATGGAAATGGCTTGCATTTTCAGCCTGTTCAAACAATTGTTTTTTATCTGTTTTCACCACAAAGAGGCTGTCAGACAATCACCTATCACTCAAATAAGTCAAATAAGTAATTGCTAATTTATATCATTTTTTGTTATCTGGTTATTGCTATTTATATTAACAATTTTATGTTATTTTCATATTTGACATAAGTTGCTGTCAAAATGTAATACATTTAGTATTTAAATGTATTTTACCTGTGACAATGAGTGTACTTTGATGTTAACAGTATTGAGCAGTTGTTATGTTGTAGTAGCAGACATGCAATGGCATTTAGAATTTTCTAGCTGACATGCAATTAGTGTTGGTCTGTGGTTGACAGCTGAAGTTCAGTGGCATTTGATATTTTAAATTATTTTAGTGACTTGTATTTAATACGAATTTGTTTGGTGGTTCATGCATTAGGATGATTACATCTTACCATAAATACAAATTTGTTTTTGCATTTTAGAAATGATAGCAATAGCTTAGAGTCTGTGGTCATAAGACGTACCTCAGTCCATCCCTCAGTGTTCCACCATCTTAGCATAGCTTTGATAAATCTTATTTACAAGCAATGCCCTTGTCTTCTTTTATACTGAACCGTCACATTCATGTGTAAAACATAAAGCAGTCTGCAATCAAACTTATGAACCTGGAGTTGAACAACTAACTGCTATATCACTAACCACTTTATCAGTGCTAAAATATTTTATGAACTGTAAAGCAGTTGTGGGAATTATAAACCAGTATTGAGAATGTTTTTCTCTCATTTCTTCAGCACAAATTCTCTTCCTGCATTGACTTTAGCCTCAGTTTAATGGTACATCTGCACTGATTAACCACGGATAAACACAAGCAAATATTTCCATATGTGAGTTCAGTCAGAAAAGTGGGGTAGCATTATCAGTTCACCTGAAGCTACCTGTGTTGTTGGGAGGCTTGGGTTTCTTGTATTGTGTTTCTGACTGCTCTTGGTTCCTAGTGGCTTGTTGTGTGTTGAGTGGGAAGGTCCTATGGCAGTTAAGTCCTGTTTATGGGTTTCCTTTGGGCAGCTGGTTGGCCACTGGGTGATCAGAATGCTGGACTAGAGGGCCCTGGATCTGATCTGCCATTTTTAAGCTCTTCTTAAGTTCTTATTGCCCTGAGGGTTTCAGCTATAGGTCAGCTCACAAGTTCTATGAAAGAATTCATGAACAAAATATTGCTGGCCATTGTAGGAATGGAATGATGAATGAGAGGATGCATGGCTGTCTTAATGTTATGTTCTAGTCTTACACAGAGCCAATAGTTGAGATTAATTTACCATGTTAAGAGGGAATAGTGATAAGCATAGTAGACCCAATTTCAAATTGCCATACAGCCAGAAGTGATTGTGTGATCTTGGGTCAATCACAAGGTTTTTGCAACAAGACAGTGGAGTAGGAAGAACAGTGGATTTCATCTAGAGTAAGAAGGCTGATCCCCAGTGATTTCAGTGGGACCAAAGTGCAATTATCTTGTCTGAGTATATCTCTGTGTATGCACCCTAAACTCCTTGGAGGAAGAGTGTTATAAAAATACACTGCCAAATTAGTGAAACATGGCAAGTGAAAGGAAGAATTCACATCAGCGAGGGAAGGAGAGTAGGAGGGAATGTGTGCTTCTACCACTTGCTAATTATTTGTAAATTACAGCAAGCAAGTAGTTACTATTATGTTTCTACTGGGGCAATTCAGGGGAAAGTTCATCTAACCAGCAGTTATGTTGATGTTTTGTGTAAATCCAGTAAACAGAATGCAATTTAGTAGAGAGATCTCAGTTCAGTAATTCTGTCCCTTGTTACTCCTCTGACATCTGTATGAAGTAGACCACCATGAGTAATAACTCTTCAGAGCAAGCAGTGTCAAAACATCTAAATAATTTCAACCAATTACAACTGAGTGACGTCTTTCCTCCCATTGTTGGATGAGCTCATCTGAACTCCCAAAATGACTTCACAGAAGTTACCTGTACAGTCCTAACACTAAGATGTGAAAAGCAGAAACCATCAGCCATGAAGAATAGTTTATGGCTGAATCTTGACATTTATATTCTAGCTCAAGTGAAAAATTAAGGTATCAAATAAACTCTGTGCCTGATCTATTCTCTGCAGGTTTGCCAGACTGGCAACCTAAAGACTTGTTCTGATATTTTGTCCTCCAACAGAGCAGGACTGAGAGCTGGTGATGAAACTCAGGAAGGCTCAGTAGCTGTCAGTGTTCCTATTTACTAGTCACAGAAGGCCAAAACGGACATTACTTCCAAGCCATGCCATACCATTGTTGTCATCTTCGTCTTTATTATTAGTTTTACTCTACGGTATTGCAGGCCCTCCCATGCAAGGGTACTAATCCAGATCACCTGTCTATGTCTATTCTAGAGTAAAAAGAAAAAAAAGAACATGGCTGTCACAGATGTAGAATAATACTGTTTAGGTCAAGAGATGATGCTTCTAATCCTACCATTGACTTCTTAAGAGTATTTTAAAATGATGGCAGGGCTTTAGGTGCTTTTGAAAATAATAATGCATCCTTAAACTTTCCAGATAGAATAAAGTAAAAACAAAATATTGGAAGCATGAAATTTCTCATCCTCTATACATAATTTTAAATAGTTTACATAAAATAGACGCCAAAGGGCATCTTATGCAAAATGCTCACTTCATTGTAATGCTGACAGTGTTCCTGACATAATAAAAAGATTTTTCTTTAAAGTTTTAGGATAATAGGAAGCAATTTTGTTTACAATCTTGTGTATATTGAGAAAGAAAGAACTCCTAAAACGCCCAGTATTCTCCAACAGTTGTGGAATGTCTTCCAATTTAAATTTCTATTGGACTGAGCCCATGCAGAGCATGTATGGCCCCTGGACCAGGGCAATCCAATGTTTCACACCTCAAGGATGGCATGAGGACACAGACCGTGCAATGAATTTCCCTGAGGGAGGTAAAAAGGACATCTACCCTGGATAGGGCCTTCTCTGCGGTGGCACCCAGATTGTGTAATGCGCTCCCCGGAGAGGTTTGCCTGGCACTGAGCCTATATTCTTTTTGGCACCAGGTCAAAACCTTTTTATTTAAGTGTTATTTTAAAAATTAGTATTTTAATAGTTTTAATCAGTCGCTCTTGATTTAATTTATTTTTTGTTTATATATTGTTTTATATTTGTATTAATTTTTTATTCATGTTTAATTTTAATGTTTGTAAGCCATTCTGAGATGCCACACACAGATGATGGCATAAAAAAGTTTTAAATAAATAAATAGTGAAAGTCCTTGCAGTATATTTATTTAATATATACAATCCATGTATTTAATTAATCATTAAACAAGGGAAACCCTGATAGGAGGTCTTAGAATGAGCTTGACAACACTTTGTGGACATGTGTGCTCCCCAGTGTGCCTCCCCTGATCCTGCTGATGACTGTTAAGATGCTCAGCTCCTGGGCACCTTTGCACCCATCCGCTGGAACGGCGTGGGGCCGCGAACTCCACTAGGGAGAAGCCATCAGGGTGGCAGCCCCACACCTCTCCATATGATGAGCGCAAAGGCATCCAGGAGCTGAGCACCTTAGTGTTCATCAACAGGAGAAGGCTGGGCATGCTGGCACGAGCTCTCGCGAGGCCGCCAACCCACCCTCAGGAAGCGAGCAGGATGGGATGGCAGCTTCGTGAGAGCTTGCCACAATCATGCTTATGCCATTGCTGGGATCTTGACTTGGTGGTGGGGTGGAGGAGCCTGAAGCAGCAAGAGGACCACAGAACAAGGCCTCAGGGGCTGTATGTGGCCTATGGCTCATGCGCTGGACTGTCTTACCCTAGACAGTGGCTGGAGGACTGTAGCATTGCTTGGATCCCAGACACAAGGTGTAAGAAAACTGTATGAACTTGGTGTTGGGGATCCATTCTTATATACCTCCTCGCACACCGTGCAGCTAAAACAGGGCGGACCATGCTGGGTGCTTTCAGAAAAGGGTTTTAGTGGAGGTTGGTGAGTATGGGGAGAGGGAACAAAGAGGGAGGGAGGAGACTGGTGCAACCAAGATTCCATATATCCTGGTAGCACATCAGCCTCTTCCCTCTGTTCCAAAGCAGCTCAGTTAGACAGCCAAATAGGCGTGGATTTAAGAAGCATCAATTTTGGCCTTCTGTGATCAGTAACCAGAACTGGTGACAGCATAATTAGCTTCTCACCCCAACAATCTCTCCTGCTGGATCAGGAGACACCATTAGGCAGTCGAAACTGGCATTCCCCTCCATGCTGCTCCTGCTCTGCCCACAGTCCTCTGAGTTTGGAGAGTTTAGGGCACTAGCATTGTTCCCTAAATGTCCTATCCATGTAATTCTACAAATTACTAATGTACTCATCTTTCCCTATTATACTGGTTGCAATTTAGCAATTGGGTTGGAGTCTCATTTATCTTGATAGAAAATAGTATTGCAAGCAACGCCTCTCATTTTAGGTTTTCATCCATCTCTTTGGAAGGTGCAAAGTGAGAAAAACAGATCATTACTCATTGCTTGCAAAAAAGAGAATTATAACCTAATACTTTTGAATGAAGTGACACAGATAATCTTTTTTTTCGCCTTTGAAATGCTTCAGAATTCCATCTAAGGTTACATTCCTTTGATTAGGAATTAGATGGTGAACAGAAACTACTTCTTTATTTCACAGAATCATACAACAGTAGCGTTGGAAGGGGCCTATAATGCCATTGAGTCTATTCTCCAAAATATGGAACACTGCACAATTTTGCATGTCATCCAAGTTCAGGAGCCATGCTAAACTTCAATTTTTGTATACATGTTTCCAAAGTGAGCACTATTGTTCTTGAAGAAAACTGTTCAGAAATGATCCTTAATATTTTGGATTGTTAATTTTCTTCCAGTATGGATTTATTGTATCTCTAATGTAGGGGGAGGCAGATAATTTTTATTTCAATGGTCCCTTGTTCAGATCAGTTGTTGCTTCCAAAAGCAGATATTTACAAACAGATTTCAAATTAAGTGTTAAATGAGAGTTTTAACTCCCTGTTGTTATGGTTTTATAAAACTTACACACATTGGGTTGGAATCAAAGTTTTCTTTTCATACAAAGGACAGAAGAGTCTTCCTTTGATGGAAAAATACTTTCCATCAGAGGAAAGGAACCTGTGGATGTAACTCTCTGAAGTCTTTTTATCTCTTTCTTAAAAGAGGGATAGTCTCACTTTTATGTAGTTAAAAATAATCAATAAAATCTCTGTTCTTTTAGCAATAGCAAGTGTTAATATTTGGTTCAGTGATCCCAATTTGAAATTGGCCATCTTGTTTGCTTAATTCTAATCATTCCTACAGAACTTTATCCCCTTTCCAGATGTAAACTACATATAAGAAGATATTGTATGGTAGCAGGAAAGGGTCTCACTGGCCATTCAGTACTCTGCCACAGTCATACCTCAGCCTTCTGATTTTAGGCTCTGATTGACCATATATATTGGGCTGGTATCAGCTTAGTCCTAATTTCAGTGAATGAGTAAATTTGGAACAGCCTGTTGAGTGTAATAGGCTGTGCTGGCTCCGGATTTTTGAGTGCCCTTGAGGCAAGACTCCCTTCACAGGCCCCGTTCCTCAGTTGGTCTCCCTGCTCACCACCACAATCACCTCTTGCTCGTCATCCTCTCTCTCATCACAGCTCCCACTTCCTTCCTTGCCTGGCAGAGAACCAGAGAGCGAGTGGGCCGCAGCACCTACTGAGCCTCCTTCTCATTACCACAATTATCTGGACCAAAGTAAGAGGCAGGAGAACAAATTCAGGGAGCTTTTGCCCATGGGCACCTGCTGCAGTGTGGGTCCATGCCTTCTGTTTTATTTCCAGGGGTCTGGACCAACCAAGGCACCTTACTTTGGAGTTTAGGATATTTGGAAGAAATTAAACACCTGTGTCAAAGATGATTCACAGCTTATTAACAATAGTGATGAAATGTGACTTCAGAATATAAACAGGTGGAAGGTGGCTTACATTCTGCTTCTCTGTGGGTATATTTGTTCCTTGGATGTGCCAAGGAATGCTTTATGGCCTCCAAAATTGTCTGGGCAAGCATCAATTCTTTTCCCCAGGCTGAGAGTAAAGGAGGACACTTCTTCCAACAAATGCTACAAAGTTTCTCTCTCATATGATTGCAGATTCTGTAAGTACGTACCCAGATTCCTGCTCTCTCTCAAGTTTTGCTCTTATTGAAAACCAGGCCTTGTCTACAGAATGATAAAGGCATCTTCAACAATTGTCTGTTGTTAGGGGCTCTTCCTAGCAAGTTTGAAGGCCGTTCTGATTTTTGGACACTAGGGAAGTTCACTACACTGAGCCTTAATAACTTCTTCCCCATTCTTCTGGTGGAGCCCACATATGCCTACCCTTGACACAGGCCCTTGGAACACATGAGTGGTATATATGTAAGTAGTATACTGGCAGGTCCCTCCCCAAGTATTTACCTGGTGCCATTCTCTGCCAGATCTCCTGTATCATTCTCAGCCCTATTGGAGGGCTATGAAAGCTGTAGACGTAGATATTACAGCTTGATTTTTCCAGTTTTAAGATTTTAATATTTTACACTTAAATGATTGCCACAAGTTTCATAATCTACTTTGCAGACTTTCAGAAAAAAGTAGGATGCAAAACTGTTATCCTTCTTTAAAATGACCTCTTTTGAAACATTTATTTTAACCCTGTAGACATCATCTCTAACTAAATAAACTTCACATTTAATTGCATTTTTCATATGCAGTACTTGTTATGATTTTTTTCTTCTACAAAGAATGCTTTATGGGTCTCCCCTTACCATCTCTCTCTCTCTTTTCTTCCTTCTTCTAGGATTTTAAGCTTCTCAGATGTGTGGAATGATTACAATATTCACTACCAGAGACCTATAAAATGGTAGAGAGATGAGAATGGAATACACCTGTCCTGTATTTTAAACCATGCCCAAGTCTCATTACCAAATTAGATGGCCATTTGTTCTGCTTTACAGACGACTGTTCTCTGTTTGAAGTATGCTGTAGTTGAAGGACTATCCACTCAAGTCTAGTTTAAAGATAAAGAGTAACATTAATAAGGGATAACCATCAGGTGCCTTGCAGTGTCCCACCAACCATAGGAACTGACAAGAGACTGAGCAGCAGCCAGGTCACCTTCCCTACTAAGAACATAAGAGAAGCCACGCCGGATTGGGCCAGTGGTCCATCTAGACCATGGGTCCTCAACCTACGGCCCAGGGGCCGGATCTGGGCCACCATGCCCATTTATCCGGCCCACCATGTCCATTTGGACCCACTGTGCACGTGTGCACCCACGCCCACCGCCCCCCACCTCGCCCCGCGCATGGGGAGGCAGGGGTATTCCCGTTCAGAGAAAACGATCTCCAAGCGAGCAAGCCGCTGCCTCATGCGCGTGCCTGCCCCCACCCACCCCCGCCTCAGCATGCGCACCCACTCGCACCACCAGCACCACCTTTCTGGCCCACGCCCAGCACCCGCAGGCCCCTGGTGGAAAGGTTTGAGGACCCCTGATCTAGACCAACATTGTCTACAGCTTACACTGTAGACAATCAGCTGCCCACAAAACAGTCATGAATGCAGCCACACCCTCCCACCCATGCTCCCCAGCAACTGGTATACATAGGCATATGGCCTCTAATACTGGAGGCAGCATATAGCCATCAAGACTAGTAGTCATTCCCCTTTTACAGCTGTCCACTTGGTGGACCATAACTACCTGGCAAGTTGTATTCCTGTTTAAATTATAATAATAATTTCTGCATGCATCTGCACATGATGCCAATTAGTATATACACATTTTGTCCAAACTGTGTCTTCTTTTTCCCTCCTTTTTTGGGACTGTTAAATGGCCAAACTTTTCCCATATGCATATTTTGTATTCTATAAAATAGTTATAGATATTATACATCCATAGTGGTATGTACTGTAACTGGTCTTTAAACAATTCTTTTTCTCTCTGCAACTGGAACATGGGGCATATTTAAGTGGGGATGAAGTTCATATGTGAATTGCTGCTTTTAATTAAGCCTTGACATCATTCTCCACTGGGTACATTGAAATTGCTTTCCCATCAAAAAGCAGCAGCACTTTTCAATAAATTAAAGTTTTATGTTGGCTTCAAATTAAGGAGTCATTTCCAAGAGTGTGGTGCCTTGAAGGCATGAGAGATTGCAGGCTATTTAGATATGATACTTTGAACTTCACACAGTTACTTGAGCAGAACATATGCTCGTTGCGTGCTTCCATTAAATCGGCAGAAATCCAGTTTGGAAAAGTTTACACTGGAGGAGAATGTCAAAATTAGCACTGAGAGACATTACTGCATTACACAGGGTTTCAAACATCTGCTGCTACTGTTAAAACTATGAGTAGGTCTCTAAAATTATGTAAGCTGCATATAATTTGGATGAATATTTCTATAACTTAATGATATATTCACTGAATTAGAATTCCCTTGATAATTGATCTAGTACAGAGAAATAAAATGCTGAAACCAAATAACCAATGATTATTCTTCAACCATAATTGCTTTGGCATGATAGGATAGGATAGGGTATATACTTTTTGTCTGAGGTGAAAAAACAAGAAAAGCTTTGAAATCAGATCTCTCTCTCCCTTGTCCTCTATGGACAGATATCGTAACAAGTCGAATGGTTGGTCAGTATAGGGAATACTGTCTACACTAGGATGGCCAGCTGTGATTGTTTCCTAAAACTCAAGATTCCTATAACTGAAGGTGATAAAAATGGACTATGAGACCTCTAACACTGTACTAAAATATATTCTTTTAAGCCTGAAAACAGCTTTTAACAATCCTTCCACTTATAAATGCAATGCATCATTAAGAAGATACACAGATAGAATACATTGTCTCTTAAAAGAGAGGGTTTATAGTAAAAGAGAAGGCCCACATTTGGGGAAAACACTGTTGCACTTAGTCAACAGAGATAAACCTAACAGGGATGGCATGTTTCTTTGGAGAAAACATCAATATGAGGATTAGGAAAGTCATGATCAGATAAGAAGTTTCCCCTGATTCCAAATAGCACTGCAACAAAACATTGTTTATCAAACAGTACTGCAAAATATTATAGTTGTTGTAAACACATTTTCTGCATAGGAACTGTGGCCTGGCAGCTTTGGTTGGATGGCCTCCTTGTTTCTTTTCCTTGATGAAGTGATTCTAGTAATGAAAATTATGTAGGATACCTCTGCATTTCATGCCTTTGTTTTTGTAGTATTCCATTTTTCCCTTCATCAACCATTTATCAAAGATACTGTGGAAAGTAAAGACGCTGCACTCAGGTAGGGGCAGGCTTATATCTTAGGGGCAAAGTATGTATGACATTGAACATGCAGGTTGGTGTTACATGGTTTTCAAAAATAGCTGGAATGAATGTCCAATCAGGACTGAATACATGTAGAGAATTCTTTTAACCCGTTGTTCCCTATGCCATGGTCTTGATGGAAATTGCTTTTCAACCCCAATCTGCTAGTTCTATGAGGATCAAGGTTCAACTGGTACCAATAGATTCTTTTCTCCTGGCTGAATGGCAGTGGTGGTGGGAACATTTTGTTGGCACCATGGCATGGGAGTCAACATCTAAACCCACTTTCCCTTTTACTGTAGTTCTGCTTTGTATTTTCCCATCCCATGTGGTGACTATTTAAAGTGTTGAAAAGGTTCACTCAACAGCAAAAGGCTTTGTTGTTGTTATCTGTTTGGTTCTGGTTCCTTTACTTTGGCACTTTCTGGATGATATAACCAAGCTTAGGAGTCTGGTTTAACCCCCAGTG